TTGGCTGACGGTAGGTCTGTTGTACCAGAGACGTGGTCCATGTAGCAAAGGGGTGACCATGACACCCAGACGCAGGTGAGGGCAGACAGATGTTTTGGCAGGAGTCGAGTAAATAGGTAAACAAGGGGTAGAGCAGACGGATTTTACGGAGCAATTGTGGTGACAGGAGTCGAGTGAAATAGGTGAACAAGGGGTAGAGCAGACGGATTTTACGGAGCAAGAGAGGCTGGGCTAAGACTAGGGAAGAGGAATGCATAATAATAATAAAGTAGACTCTGATTAACATTACCTGGAAAAGGCTGAAGGAGGGGTGAGAACGACAGTTGGAGTATGAAGGTGTCATGTCGCTAAAAAGAGCACATCACACTATATCTAAAAAAACACGGTAAAAATTGTAATAGTGAAGACATGATAGGATGCTACCGGAAATGCGAATAACCCAGGACAGAAGGGGAGATACCACAAGTGTTTAGCACACGTTTGGTAAAAGGATCGGCTTCAAATGTCTCTTTGACGAGTTGTTGTGTGGTGCTAAGAATTGCGATACTCACTGATGCCGGCGAAACGTTTGGGAATGTTCCACGTCCACGGTTCAACTTTGGAAATGATCATGCAGACAATGGCCCGCCGGCGAAACGGTTTGGAATGTACCACGTCCACGGTTCAACTTTGGAAATGATCATGCAGACAATGGACTCCGGACTAGGTGCGTCCCACTAAGACCATGTTGCGAAAACAAGGTCAAATAACTTCTATGTTTAGTTTTGCCCAACAATCGAGTGCATTGCCTTCAACATGATGCCTTTTTCTCGGTCAGATTCAGCCCAACGGCAACATAGTGGTGGCTAAACGTGTGGACCGCGACCAGCTTTGCCCCACATTCGCTGCATCCGATCCGTCCAACGAGGCCGCCATCACATCCAGTCGTCAACAACGTGACTTCCAGCATGGCCGACTCGACTGGCCCTGGGCCCTACAATCGGCCAGAGGCTGGAAACGGCGTCTGCGACGTTCTGTTGTCGGGAGTGAATTCACGCATGATGCCGTCTCCATGCCTTCGTCTCTGCCCACGTCCTCAGCCGCTC